TTTATACAAACCCTGAAGTGGGATATAAACAACTTTATGCAGATGACGCGAACACAGGAGTTGACCCAGAATATGTTTTCTACCAGAGGAGAAACAGAATGTATGAGCTCCAGTTAAAGAATGCTATGGAACTCAACAGGAAACGTAAGAGACTAGGCGGACATTAGATTTTTACATATAGTAAAATGGGTTTCTTCAGTAAGATAGGAAACTTCTTTCGAAATGTTGGAAGAGGTATATGGAATGGAATAAAAACCGTCGGAAGAGGAATTTGGAACGGTGTCAAAAATATTGGTAAAAGAGTAGGTCAGTTTGTTGGTATTATACCTAAAGACCCTGAACCAGAAGAACAAGCTCCTGTTATACAACAGCCTGAACCTGCACCACAGTCTAGTTGGCAACCAAATCCAACACCTCAACCGTATTAAAAAATTATATTTTTACCGTTCGATAGTAGTTGTATATGAAACTAAGTTCTAAGTAAAACGCGTGGTATAATGGAATTATTCTCTTTCTTCCATCTGTAGTAAACCATACTTGAAAGTCTGAAATACTTCCACTTGGTGGTTCGTATAGCTTTGTAGGTTTTTCGTAAAAGTCATTTGCCAAGCATAAAAAAGAGTTTTGCGCACCAGAAAATGAAGCATGAACTATAATAGCATCTGAGTCGAAAACATTTTCATATGTTCCATTAGGGTTTTCGACTTCATAATAGTCCGGGTGTACTGGATACCATGCAGGCTGATTTAACATCCTCAAAAATCTATGCCATGCCAAGTTGTTATATTTTGTAGAAATATAAACGTTTCTCCAAGGTCTTCTATTTTATTGATTTTAACAGTTGCATTTTTCCTGTCATATATAATATCGAGATGGTACTCTCCCTCGTCAATGTTATACTGGTTTGCATATTCGAGATAATATCGTTTATTTTTCTTGAAAAGCTTGAAGAGTTGTTTCTAAGTTTACAAGCAAATTCACTTGTAAAAGTTTTCCCTGTTCAAATTTCTCATACGTACGTTTTTCTTTGTTATAGTATCGAACTTCAAAACCGACCGTAAATGGGAAACCATGTATGGCTTCTGAAATGAACTTCATTCTACGAAAGCCAATAGCTTTTGTGACAGATGTTCTCTTAACCATCTTAACGGGTAGTCAAAACGATAGCCTTCATGCTTTACGGTCTCTGTCTCAAACTTTTGACCGACATCGTAAAAAGTTCATCTAATGGTTTAGTTGTAGCAACTCTTGAATTTTTTTTTCTATTAAAGCATATTTTATCTAGAATAAAAATGTCGAAAGAAACAGCGTCTATGAGAGAAATAAAACACAACCGACAACTCATTTGCAAGCTCTAAATAAGAACACAACAAACTTTTCAAACTATTCTAAATATCTGAGTCACTGAAAGAAGGAAACTTAAAACTGACAATAAACCCAATGACAGACGAGTTTCTATTTCAAGACAGTAAGAACCATACTGTCTGTATAAATCCAACAAAAGGAACTTTAAACGAGAAGCCTATAAAAGAACTTCTTTTGAAAGCAGATGTTGACAACAAAGCTGACAAAGAGTATGTCATTGAAAAAGTTCAAGAAGAACATGACAGAGCTGACAAAGCTTATGCAACAAAAGAACATACTCATCCTGAACTAGCAGACAAAACATATTGACAAAAAATGTCAAGTGAAGTGACAAGAGCTGACAAAGAATATTCTAAAAAGACTCATACACATACCATTGCAAATATTACAAACTTACAAGAAACCTTAAACAGTAAAAGTGCCGTTGGACATACACATACCATTGCAAATATTACAAACTTACAAGAAACCTTAAACAGTAAAAGTGCCGTTGGACATACACATACCATTGCAAATATACAAACTTACAAGAAACCTTAAACAGGAAAAGTGACGTTGGACATACACACGATTTCTTCGCAACTGTTGGTATAGAAAATATTGAAGGAACGGTTGAAGAAACTGGTGGGGATGTATTAAATTGGAAACCTCCTAACTTTCCACAAGGTTTAACATCGGAGGATGACATAACGACGATGAAATACACTAGATGTAGAAATGTCTATGTCATGGAGGATGAAAACAATGTTAAATTCACTGCTCAAGATTTATATGATAAAAAGGCTGACAAAACATATGTTAACGATGAGTTAGATAAAAAAGCTGACAAAACATATGTTAACGATGAGTTAGATAAGAAAGCTGACAAAACAGAGCTTCAAACGTTAAAGACAGAAATACTTCAAACAGTATATCCTATAGGTTCTATTTACACGTCAATGAACTCTACCAGACCAGAAGTAGTACTTGGTTTTGGAACTTGGACTCAAATAGTCGACAGGTTTTTGTATTGTGCAAACTCTTCAAAGGAAACAGGTGGAAGTAAAACGATTTCAGGTGAAAATTTACCTGCGCACAGTCACTACATAATTTAAGTACATCTGAAGCAGGTTGGCATAGCATAGATTTTGGGATTGGTCAGGAATGACAAAAGGTAAAGGATATGATGTTAAAGAGACGTTAAGTTTGCTATAAATTGTTACTGGAGTAACACTGGGAGAGGAAGCCATACACATCGCGTTTCAGGTATACGCAAACAACGGACAAAGTAAAGACTACATGCCACCTTACATGACAGTTTACGCATGGTATAGAAATGCTTAGTCGTCATTTTCAACTTCTTTAGCATATTCGTCAGGAGTTGTCTTATATTTGTTAGGAACTGTCTTTGAAAGTATACCACCTTGAACTTTGACAAGTTTGAAACGAGGTCTGACAATAGTAGTTTTATCTTCTGCTTGCAGTCTGTACATTTTGCCATGTTTGCCTAAAACTTCATAATATTCTCTTGTATACTTTCTTCTATTTTTACGAACACGAATGTGAGTACCTGTCGAGTTCCCATTGTTGTCATAGTCAATAGTATTTTCATATGGGTCGCGTTTAGGTATTTCTATTTTTACTTTGTCACCTTTCTTAAGTTTGAAGCCTGGCATTCTTTCTTGTTTGTCTCTTTTGACTAAACTATTAAATATATAGTCTTTCTCTAAGTCAGGGTTGTTTTTCATTTCTTCGGGGAGTGGTTTCCCAAACCTTTTTGTTTACGGCTATTGTAAATATTTAAAACTTGTCTCATCTTTGCCATGGAGAAGTGTCTATATTTGTCGTCATATGACATTTCATCTTCACCACCTTGTGGTTGTTTAAGTCTCTTAAGATTTTTATACAACTGTCAATGACACCAAGAGCAGAATGGTTTTGGTCGACAATGAAATATTGGTTTACATTTTTTGAACGCAGATAGTTTTTAATATCGTCTGATTTGAAAGAACTTTCACAGTCAGATGTCAGTTTTGTTGGATGGTATTTGTCAACGAATATTGTCAAAGCAGTTTTCACATCTAAAATATTTTTGGACTGTAATGGTATGGCTTCACAGTATCTTGTGTTTTGACCGACAAATATTAGCCAGTATGGTGGTCCATCTTCTCTATACCTCGGAATGTTTTCCAAGATATCCATAAACCAAGCATTTGGTGTTGAACTAAAGATTTTTATCATGAGTGCTTTCTTTGTTGCCTTAGAAACATAGGGGTCCTTGTTTGGATTCGTCATTTTTAACCCATAAGAAATGGGTTTATTTGGCGCATTAGCAGGAGTTGCATCCAGATTTTTGCCCGCAGTGGGAACAATAGCCAGAGGTGTATTTGGATTGGAAGGAAGATTTTGAGTACATTAGGTATACTTAAAGAGAAAGCACAACCTATTATACAAACTGTACAGAAAAGGTTGGGAGGTAGCACGAGATGCAGCAAATCTTATTCCAAATCCTGAAACAAGAGAAAAGTTCAAGGATGGATGGACAATGTAGGAAGAGAAGCAGGAAACTAATAACAAAGCAAATGACTACTATAACCAAGCAGGGCACTATATGGACCAAGGTGAAAGATTCTTTAACAAGGATATAACCATGCACAACAATGGGTAAACAAACCAACCTCAACCGCCTCAAACTTGGGGAATGTAAAGTTTTTTACTGAGATGAAATGAACAATACAGCATTGAGACAAATGGGTTCAAGATGGATTTGTCGACTTCCAGCAGTTACACAACGTGTTTGTCAAGTTCTTCCTATACCTCAGGAAGTTTTAGACCGACTTAAAAAACCTAAACAACCAGTTGAAAACAAACCAAACTAAAATTTTTTACTGAGATGAAATGACCGAAGAAGTTGAAACGGTAGATTTGACACCACAAACAAAAAGTTCAGAACCATTGTCAAAACCTGTCAAAGAACTTACAGATGAAGAGAAAAATTCAATAATAGAAAGTGCCAGGTCTGGAAATACAAACCCTAACTACAAAGTCACTTTTCATAGAAATGGAACGGCTAGTATCTCAAAAAAGAAACAGACTCTCACAAATAAAATATTGAAGTCTGAAGGAGCTTTCGAGACAACAGATGGAAAAGTTTACTTCACTGACCAACAGTTCATTATAGAACATCTCATTGACTTAGAGTCGAAATATTCTAAACTTTACAACAAACACAAAAAGTTGAAAGGAAAACAAAAACAAATGGCATATGATATTTATGAAGATGTTGACGACACAACTGTTCCTGCAAGTGAGGTAAAGTCAGAGGAACCGAAAAGTGACGAAAAGCCGATAGAAGAAGAAAAACCAAAAACTGAAGATAAACCAAAACCAAAGGTTAGTTTCCAAACTAAACCAAGTCAACCTTCATTAGCTGGTATGGGTTGGCGTCAAAGACTTTTGGCAGCGGGTGGTTACGTAAAGTAAAGAAAAAACATTTTTTTATTTTTATAAAAATGCCCCCGTATAGAATGGATAGAAGGTCTGCTAGAATAAAAGCAGAGTTAGAAAGATATGGTTGGAAAGTTTCGAAGAATTTTAAATATAGGAAGGGAAGACCCATAAAAGTCTATGACAAATTGTCTGGTCTTCGCTACGAAATGGATTTGGAAACAGCACGTGCAAATTATCCAAACAGACTAGAGAGGTTAGAAGAAGAACGTCTTATGGACATGCCTTTCGATGTTAGTGAACCTCAAGTTGAAGGACACGACGGCTTTGCCAGATTCTACTGGAAACATGACGAACAATTGCATCCTTTGAGAAGGAAAAAAGGAAAAGGTGAAGACGCACATGCTCCCATGGAAAGAACAAGATATGCATATGAAAAGTACCGTGAAGTTAGAAGTCAAATTACATCTGGTCGAACCTTTACAGTAAACTTTGACGAAGGAAAGAACAAAGAAGGCTTCATGGGAGTACTTGCTGCAATTCAAGATGGAAATAAGAAAGGATACAATCTCAGATTGACCATAACAGATTTGGACGGTCATATATACTATGCGCATGGCAATGTCACAACAGCTGCAATGCTTCTTGACGCTTTCAAGACTACAAAGAGAGAACAAATGGTTGACTCCGACTCAGACATTTTGAATGCAATTGAAGGAATTGTAAGCGTGAAGTTCGAATGGTACCAACCTAACCCTCAAGCAGTCAGACAACATGCTGGATACTTCCCGTTCATAAATAAGTCTGACATTGACTTGACAAGGTATGGAATTTACAATTCAATTGAAACAATTGTCAATGAACCTTGCATTCTTACATGTCTCAGGAACTCTGGTCTTGTTACAGATGAGAAAATGAAGTATCTTGAGTCATGTGTGAAGACAAGGTACATTCTCAGAGGTCAATTGTCAAAAATTGCACCGTTGGCAAATGTCAATATCCGAGTCAACATACCTACAGCTAAAGGTTCTTCACATGACGACTATGTTGTTGACAAAGACTTACCATGGTTGAAGATTGCAATTGTCCACAACCACTTCATGTTGAACGAAAGTCTTACAAACCCATTGTTCGGAAAAGGCAAGTGCAACATTGTCAGAGCTGTAAACATTCTTTTCGAGAAAGGTTTGTTGGAACCAATTCCAGATGACAAGCTGACAGAAACTTTTGTACCAAAAGACGAAACAAACTTTTCACTGTTAGCAAGACCAAAAGTTGTTCCAGACAAAGTTCTAGTACAAAAAGAAGTACACAGTTCCAAAAGGAGTTGGATTGTTCGGATACCAACCTGAACCAGAAGAACTTCCAATGAGGTTGCAAGAACTTCAAGATGCTATAAACAAACTTCCATTGAGACATCCAATCGACGTCAAATTGTATTGGAGAGCTTCTGAGTTAGGTCAGAAGGTTTTATATGAAACAGGTTGCTTCGACGATGTTTATGAGATAACAGGAGAAGTTTCTCAGAAGATAAGAGACTCACTTGAATTTCCACGAACTGGACCCATTGGATGCGACAAGTTCGACTCAGATGAAAAGATATACTATGTCGACCTTAACGCTGCGTACATGAGGTTTGTCCAATATATCCCGACTGGAATTCCAAACGAAGACGGTGAGTTCCCAGGAAGGAACTATACAGTTGGAAAAGTCATACAACAACTGTATGATATTAGGAAAGCTTCAAACCCCAAACTTGCAATGACACTCAAATTGCTTATGAATTCGACATGGGGATATTCCATAAAGAAACCTCAAGAGATGAAGAGTAAACATTATGAGAAGGTCGACAACTTTGTTGAAAGGTTTTCTCCTTTTGTTTTGAAGTACGAATTCACTCAAGGTCAAAGTGGCTTAGTAACCACATTAAAACCTATTGTCGAACATTGGTCTTACCCTCAGTTCGCAAAAGCAGTCCTTGACAACTACAACAAATTCTTCTCCGAAGTCAAATCGAAAGTTGTGGTTTACTATGAGAACATTGACGCACTCATGACGAACGAAGAAGGCTATAACAAACTCATTGAAATGGGTTTAGTCAGTGAAAAGATGGGTCAATTCAAATTGGACAAAATTTTCACCGAAGTTCATGTCCTCTCCAAGCGTAAGTACTGGGGCATACTTGAAGACGGCACAGAAATAAAACATTGCATGAAGTAAAAAATTTTTATTCGAATTTGAATCGGACAGGTCGAGTTACACCATTCTTGGTCTCAAACTCATATATAACCTGTTTGTTTGTATTTTCGTCGACTATGACACGAGACACGAACATTGACCAAACGGACAAAAAGTGTCATTTCAGATGGTCCCGCAGCCAATCGCATTCGAGCACTTCGAAGAAGCCTTACGTTCCAAGGGAGAGGGTGTCTGGTGCAAGGCAGAGGTCATGAAACTCTACGAGCAGTACATCCTCAATGCCTGGGAGGACAAATCGTCCTTGGATTGGCAATTCTACCAACTCCTCTGGGACGACCTCCTAGGCAACTGGGATGACGAAAGAGTCCAATTCAGAGGTCGGGAGCTAATTGTCCAAATTACCCTTAATTTAACCCACTTAATGAACTAAACACCTAAATTTACTCGGGGTTTCCCCCTAAAATAAAATTTTTTTACTCTTAGAACCACTCGAGGTTCTCCTTACGGTTGTTGAGCTTGTCACCGTCAATGTGTCTGACCCTCGTCTTCTTGTCTGGATTTGGAACCCATTGAATTGCGACAAGCTTGCCCATGGAGATTGAACCGCGATTCCGAAGGTTAAGGTTCAAGTGTCCCAAGTTGTTGAGGACTGGGGTAAGAACCTTGCCTGTCTCCTTGTTGCGGATTTGGTATGGGTAGGGTTGGGAAATTTCGTAAGCGTCATCGGCAACAAGGGTTGCCCAAACTTCCTCTTCTTCGTGTTTCTCTTCTTCTTCCTCTTCTTCTTCGTGTTTCTCTTCTTCCTCTTCTTCCTCGACAATTCCTTCTTCAATTCTGTGTTCACGAATTACGGTGTTGCATGTTCTGTCCTTTCCGAGTACCTTCCAGATGGCGTCTATCTCTTCGAAGAAACGGTAGATGAGTCTGGCAAGGTCTCGGTTCTCTCTCGCGTAAATGCGCAAGGTTTCCGTCAAATCATTCAGGCATTTCTCATTGGAAGCTTGGTTCATGAGGACATCGGCTTTGAGCTTGGTCATCTCTTCCATAAGACTACTTTGGAGAGTCTTAACGGTGTTTGTCAGATGAGCTTTCAAATTCAAAATTTGAATTTGAACTGGGCGCTTGTCTGGCAACATTGAAAGGACATCTGCCATTGTGTTCGGCTTCGGTGCTTGTTCGGACATCGAAAAAATGAAGTGGTTTGAGAATGACGGTTTTACTTCAAAAAGCTTGTTATGACGGTTAAGTCATACAACAAGTTTAAAATAATATCTTGTTCTTCTTCTGAACGTTTGTTGTCTCTTCCGATAAAAGTTTCGAACATGAGAACCAAAAAAACGTTTTTTGAGATTGCGGAAGAGTTCAGGCAAACGTTCATATTCTGGATATGTTGGGAGCAGTTCAAAACATCTGAGCTGACTTTCGGACAAAATTGGGACAATGTCAGAAAATTCATCTTTGGTCGGACTGCTTGAAGGTAAGTCCCTTACATGTAAGTAGCTCTGGTAAAGTCTTCTCATTTCTGCTAACTTTTGGAGTATAGCTTCGTAGTTTAGAAGTTTTAATTTTAAATGTCTTATTCCACTCTTGACATCTAAACGGTAACTATCCATGAGGTCAAGAGTAGCTTTGGTAGCTTTAAGTGGAGCTATCTGTTCCTTGACTTGTGCAATTTTGGTTGCAATTGTGGTTTGAGCTCCTTCAAGTTCGCCGTCTATGTCGTTCTCAACGTCTTCAAGCATGGCTTGAAACTCTTCATCGGTCCATTGAGATTGGTGTGGGACGAATTTAACTTGCTTCATTCAAAAAATGAAAAAAATGTTTTTACTCAAAGCGTGCCATGTATATGGCTATAAGAAACTTACCAGAAGGCTTCTTCTTCACATGAGTCTTTGGCAACTTGAGTGTTGGTGTTGGAGTTGGGTCTGGAATTTCAATTCTCTCTCGAGCGCAACAACAGATGTCAGAATAACATTCCCCACTGTCTTTCTTGCCACCATAAATTGTGTATTGACCGAACTTGCATTTGCAGGAAGACCGGTCAATACAAGGTTCACAGTTGACATATGTGTACACATACCTGTTGAGTACGAGTGTGAGTAAAAACATAAAAAAGTGAAGTTAAAATGAGATGTTTACTGTAAAGGTACGATGTCGCCTTCTGTGTTTATGAAGAACGCCCGACCCGAGAAGTGTAAGAGTCCTCTGAGAATTTGGGCAATTCGTACAGTTGGGTTCTCTCTGTTTGGAAGTAGTATCCAAGGACGCTTGGCAAAGAACTTCAAGAGGACTTCTTTCTTCATCTCTTTTATGTCGTCGAAAGGAGTGTTTTCTGGTATTTGCAGGACAATTCCAGTGTCAATTTCAATTTTAAGCGCACTTCTTCCAGACACCCAGCCTGCAATGGTCTTGTTTGACTTCAGATGGCTCAGGTAGTTCCTAACTAGCTCATTTATCTCTATAAGGTAGATTGCCTCATCTGCTGGGTCTATGTCGGTCATTGTTTCAAGACGAGTCTTTTACTTTTTCAAGACGAGTCTTTTACTTTTTCAAGACGAGTCTTTTACTTTTTCAAGACAAGTCTTTTACTTTTTCAAGACAAGTCTTTTACTTTTTCAAGACAAGTCTTTTACTTTTTCAAGACAAGACCCGTTATTTTTCAAGAAATTTTTTTGGTGTAAAGTTCTCAAATTTGAGAACAGTGGTCTTGATTTCAGACGATACCCGTACTTTTTCAAGACAAGTCTTTTACTTTTTCAAGACAAGTCTTTTACTTTTTCAAGACAAGTCTTTTACTTTTTCAAGACAAGTCTTTTACTTTTTCAAGACAAGTCTTTTATTGTTTCAAGACAAGTCTTTTATTGTTTCAAGACAAGTCTTTTATTGTTTCAAGACAATGTCCGACGTACCACCAACCGAGCCCATATCCCAACCAGAGGAACCTAAAGCACCAGCCCCTGCACCTCAGCAACCTCAGTTCCAACAAGTACCTCAGTTCCAACAAGTACCTCCGAATTACTACCAATTTCCAAATTACTACCAAATACCTCCTCAAGGCTTCCCGAACTACCCTCCTCAGCCTATGCCTTACTGCCCTAACCCTTGGATGTTCATGTCAAACCCTCCACCCCAATTCCAATTCCAATCTCAATCCAAGAGAGACCAAGAGTTCGAAGAAGGTCTGAACCGTTTACGCAAAGAGTATGCCACAGCCCCTATGGAAGACGACAGGCTTTCAGTCTCTTCCCTAAGGTCGACCAATTCGACTCGTACCACAGATTCGGTTCGTGACCGTGACGACTACCTCAAGCAGTCTGAGAGACTCTTCATCCTACAACCATTTACAGTTGGAGCTCTCAAGAACATGCGCAATTACGAAGGTCAGACACCAGCTGGAGACCGCAAAACAGACGTACTCGCAAGAGCAGTCCAACTGGTCAAGACAAAGACTGAGATAGTCGACTTCATTCTTGCAGCTTGCCCATACAAGTAAAAAAATAAACAATTACGAGTTAAACTTTTTATTCTTTCTTTTCTGAGTTGTTTAGAGCTGGTTTCTCTTGTAGGAACCTTTCGTACTCTTCCATGGTCATGTAATTGCGAATTTGGTACGCAATTCCAGGTTCGTTGTTTTTGAACCTTACGTATGTAACGCTTCCATCCTCCTCAGGGAAGTAAGCTGCTAACATCTGACCAAGTTTTCTCGGTGACTCGGAGCTCATAAAAATGTCACTTTTTTAAACCTTAAGTTTTTAGTCTTATTTTACCCTTTGTTTACCCTTTGTTTACCCTTTGTTTACCCTTTGTTTGTCAATGTAGTATTGGAGTGCAATTTCTCCAAATTCTCTGTGTCGGAGTTCTTCAGCATTTTCCAAGGTGTACCTGGAGAACTCAAAAAAGTTGTCAAGAAGATACTGCCATGCTGCTCTTCTGAGTTCGTCGGTATTTTGGAAGTGTTGCACCTTCGAGTCTTCGGACATGAAAAAATGACACTTTTTCAGCAAAAATAATGTATAGGTGAAGAGGTGAGATTTCACCTCTTTTCTCACCTCTTTTCTCACCCGTTGAATTTTCATGATTTCATCGTAAATGTTTTGTCGAAACTTCATCGTAATGAGCGTAAATGACCCAAAAATAATGTTTAGGTGAAGAGGTGAGATTTCACCTCTTTTTTCACCTGTTTTTTCACCTCATGAATTTTCCCGAAATAAAAAATAAAGTTAGTTTTATTTTTTATTTTATTTATTTTTTTATTTTGTATAAAAAAATAAAATGTCAACAATCGGCACAACAACACTTCAAACAACTACAGCACCAAACTCGTTAGTCATGAATCCAACATCTATGTTGGTAGAGATGAAAAACTTCATTCCTTCTTCATATACTTTCGAAACAAAAATCCAGAAGATAAAGCAAGAACTTCTCCAAGGAGATTTAGACTGTAGTGCGAAAGATGAAACAAATGAACAGTATCTTTATGAAATGCAGGACATTATTGACCATTTACCCAAATTGCCTGAAATTCAGCAGCAAAAGCTTACTATTCCTGAATTCGATGAAATAGAAGTCAAAGCAACTGACTCAGTAGAAATAAAGAAGTTCATACGAAAGGTAAATTATGAATTCCTTGGTTTTCATTGCAACCATAAGGTTATGGACAAAGATTGCGACATGTTATATAAGAACATCTCTGACCTTTACAAATCTGAAGAATTTAAGACCTACGACAACTTTGTTTCATTAGTTGCAAAATGTGTATGGGAAATAAGAGATAAAGATAGTAGGGGTAAGGTATGGAATGAACAGATAAGACCCGCTATGTTTGAGATGAAGAGAGCAATTGACGCCTTGGTTGTTTTAGCAGGTAAGGTTTCAGAATATAACGCAAAAATGAATCCGCAATGTTCTAAATGTAAAGCAGCAATTAGGAAATATAACTACTCCGTCAAAGAGATAGAAAGAATGCGAAACGACTATGCAGACTTAAAGAAAGAAGCAGAAAAGCCAGCAGAAGATAAAATGGATATGTTGACATTTCTTAATAAAAACTATCCAACAGCAGAAGATTTCCTTCTATCTGACGTCAAGAAGAAGTATAAAGAAACTTTCGGTATCGTTAAAACATTCGATGTACTAAAAGAAGAAATAGAAGCTACGAAACTGTTTAGGATTTCAAATATACATCGTACAATTCATGTAAAACGCTTATAAAATAACAGGTGAGAAAAGAGGTGAAAAAACAGGTGAAATCTCACCTCTTCACCTAAACATTATTTTTTGCTGAATTCAGCAACAAAATTCTGAGTAAAATAATTTTTAGGGCATGTGTCAAACCGTTGAGTTTTCACAAAATTTAAAAAATAACTGGGGTGAAAAAGGTGAAAAAAGGTGAAATCTCACCTCTTCACCTAAAATATATTTTTATTGAATTCAGCAACAAAAACAGTGAAATTTCTCTAGACTGACTTCTTTCGGGGTCGCCAAACTCTTTATTTTTCAAGCTTGACTTTTTACAATTTGAACTTTGTTTGCGTAGATATGAATTCTGAAAGAAGTATGAGGGTCTTGTATGACTTTGTACTTCTCCCATAGTTCATGTCTGTCAAACTTACCTGCCATGGACTCTTTCATAAGTTCCATGAAATCGTCTTCGGACAATCCAGGGAAAAGTATGATATCAGTAAGTATTCTCTTTACATCCTTACTTAAACTCTTTGCTGTCTGTACACAAATGACAACTGAGATGTTAAAGTGTCTGAGCTTCTTAAGAATTCGACACATATCTTGTTCTCTATTCTTTAACAAAGGATGAGAAGCAAATCATCTAAGATAAGAAGACATCTGTGAGGGTATGTCTTCCAATCGTAAGATTGCAATTTCTTCGAAATGTATTCTATCTCTTTCTGTTTGTTTCTGAAGTGTTTCTTCTCTAATATTCTCTGCATTTCCTCATTTGGGTCTTTAAACTTCGAATTGACATACTCATTTATAGCATTGTACTTCAAAACTCTTCTTTGGTACTTCTTTATCCAATCTAACAACTCAGTATCTTTTATACATACTAACTTAGACTTCTTTATAATATCTTTGAACGAATTGACGGTTTGGTCAAATTGACCAGAAGTACTACAAATAACAACTAACTCATAGAATGGGTTCTTCTCATCTAGTTCTTGTTGTTGTGCAGCCATTTTAAGATAAGTGAAAGTCTTACCCGACCCAGGTGGTGCAATTAGACCTGTTATACCATTCTGAGCAAATAAGAACTTGTCATGTATAGGCTTTATCTGAGCATTTTCTAACTTCCTCTTGTTCTTGTTTAAAACATTCTCAAATTTCTTGTCAATGTCAGCAAACTTTTTTTCTAACATATTTTTAGAAAAATTAAAATTTTTATCTTTTAGAAAATGTCTAGCGATTTCGCTATCTATATTCGAGACAAACTTTTCGACAGCAAAACATCTGTCGACCATAAAATCTTACATAGTGTAAACAAGAAAGGTGAATTTGTTCTAAAGTTCTGTTTCTGGGAATATGACAAGAACCATAAAACATTAAGCAGAGAAGTCTTTAAGTTTGTCAATGACAGACTTGTTGACAGAGATGACGCCTCTTGGAGATGAAGTCCAACAAAAGTTCTTAGAATGCAAAGAAGACACATGCGCTGTTCTTGAAGATGAAATAGAAAACAGAATAGAAGAGCTATTAAAGGACAAAGACTTTTACATAAATATGGTTCTGAGAATTTGACATAACTCCACCAGAGAAGAAGAAGAAGAAGAGAGAAAAGAAAGAAAAGAAAGTAGAAGAAGAGAAGAAAAGAACCTGAACCAGAGCCAGAGAAAAAGAAATTTGACATGTAAAAATAAAATTTTATTTTTAGAACATTTCTGGGTCAATGTCAATGTTCTCTTCCTCTTTAGGAGCAAACACTGGCTTAGACTCTAAAATCTTTTTACCCAATTTACCTTGAACTTCAACTATCTTAGACTCATAATATTCATAGTCGTCTGCTTTCTTTGGTTCATAAGGTATAACAAGTTTGTATGCTTTGCCTTCTTTAAGGTTTGAAAACCTTCTGTCAAAATTTCTTTGACTGCTAACAAACCTTCTATGTCTAAGTCTTCAAATTTCGCACCATTTTTAGTCACAATAGCAAACTTAACTGGTTCGATGTTCCAAACTTTGTCAATGTAGACTTTTCAAAATGGTAGAAGTAAACATTCAAATAAGCGAATGGGTCTAGTTCTTCTTTGACTTCTGTCATGTACTTGTTGACTGAATATATTTCGTCATCTTTTCTATCGGATAAAAAAATATTTTTTTTAAAATTTACTCAGAAAAATTTTTCTTTGTATATACGCCGTTCTGAACATCTAAAAGATTTTTGACATTTGCCAAGAATGTGTTTAGAAGCTGCATATAACCATATCTTGACAATATTGTTTATACGAATCGTACAATGACCTTTCATCTAAACACACAAAGTCAGTTTCATCTATAACAGTTCATATACACTCTTGTTTGCTTCTAACAATGTTTGTCTCTCTTCGGTATATGGAATTTGTCTTGGATTGAACTTAGAAATATCTAATGTCATGAAATATGAGAACAAGTGGTTGTAAAAGTTAGGTGTCAAAGTTTCTGCTAAGTCGTCAAAATATTCTGTATCTTGCATATGAGAATCTGACGTTCTGACAACTACATATCTTCTGTCAGAACTTTCTAACTTCATCGGAACAGCATTGTTTGAAACCATAATGAAGTTTGCAACATTTTCACAAACTCTTTGGTCTTTATACTTTCTTTCAACAACTCCAACTTTGTCTGTTATAAGACTCTTCAAAGCATCTGAGTTCAAAACTTTTGTTGTATCTATACTTTGAAGTTCGTTGCAAACTATAAGTTTCATATTCTCTATTGAAGAGTTAAATTGCCACAGATGTTTTCTAAGTTTGTCATATTCGGGTTCGAATAGCCCTCTAACAGTTTGCACAAAATATCTGTAAAGAAAGTGTTCTTACCTGTTCCTTGTTTTCCAATTATAATGAGAGCAGTTTCATTTTTAGCACTTGGATGTTGTAAGATGTTTGCAAACCAACATAAGATATACTCATAACTTTTCGTTTCCATTGCATATAATTTCTTTGACATGGTCTAACCAAGCTTCTATAATATTTTCTTTCCATTCTACTTGTTCATATTTATATCCAGTGAAGATAGAATAGAAGTTTGGAGAAGGTGTATAGAACTTTATACCTCGAACTGAAAAATCTTCTAACTTTGACAATAAGATATCCCAAGCATCTAACATCTTCATGCCAACTTGTACGACTTTTATTTTCTTAAGTTTCTGTCTACATTCTTGTTCTGAAACTATTGTTGCTCTTGGTTTGTTAAAGACAACATCCCATTCTTTCATACATAACATTCTGGGGCAGAGTCGACATAAATGACTAAACGTTTCAAATTCTCGACTGCTTTGTTATAGTTCTAAATGGACACATATTTCTGAATGCTTGGAAGTCATAAAAATCTGAAACATCTATTCTGTACATTTTTATAAAAATAAAAAAAATATTTTTTTTATTCTTGACTTTGTTGTTGCATTTGTTGTTCTTGAGCTATTTGTTGTTGAAGTTGTTCTTGTAATACAATACTTTCACCAGTTGCATCTTCCAATTCGAAACTTTCTGCCGTCATTGACAAATACATAGGACATAAAAGTTTTACAGGAACAAAGTTTGCGTCAACTAAGGTTAAGTTTATGTTTGCTAAAGTGTTTGAGTTTACTAAAGCTGAAAACTCTGCATTCGAATGAACAATAGGCAAACCAGCAGAGAAAGTGTTGTTTATACGCATGAGTATCTTTTGGTCATAGTAGTTTCTGTCGACATTCGAATAACACTTTGAACCTAAGTTTGAAACAATATATAAAATAGGTGTACTTAAAGTCAATGGAACAGACAAACCTTGTATGACACCTTTTCCTGTTATAGGAAACTGTTGGTAGTAAAAACCAGATATAAGTTTTGTATTATAGCTCATATCGTTTATAGTAAACTCAGTCGGACATCCAAACATAATGAAACCTGCTCTAGTTGCAGCACATGTTACATCCGTCCTTAAAGTATTAAATAAGTCAACAAAACCTGTTGGTGGTATATCTGAGTAAGTATCTTCAAAGAAGTATTTTTTACCATTCACAACAACAAAGTCTTCTGGTGTCAAAAGAGCAAAACAGGCTTTAGTCGTCATTGTGTTTAAGGTTAGTTTACAATATCGTCCTTGAGGACTTTGTAAGTTTGTTGTTATAGAATTATATGACTCAGGGTTTTTAGTCGTAATAGTATAAACCATATGTCTTCTGCCATTTACTTAGCAAATAAATTTTAATGAAATGTTGTGGTCGTCAAATATTTTTATGACGTCTGGGAAACTATATTTTAAGTTCAACGTTTCACCTCCTTTCATAACGTATATCTTGTCAATGACATTATATGAAACACCACAGCAACTAATGTCGGGTTCTATTTCTTTGATGTTTATATCGTCTGCCTCTGTCAAAAGTTTCAATAGTTCTTTCAAAATTTCATGAGGTGCGATGACATATGAGTTCACTTTTACAGGGTTGTGTTCGACCAAGTTTAACATTATACCTAAAGCTTGACAAATCTTCTCCTGAGTTTTAAGTTTGTCTTTAAGTTGTTGGTAGTCGTTTCGAATATCTGCAACAGAACTTAAGTCTCTGCTAACTTCAGGATATGTTGGTTGTTCTTTTACAGGAACTATTGTTATACCATCTTCGTCTTCGTATGGTTTCCCCACTTCAACATCTCTTTCTTTGACATTGACAACAACACTTTGACTGTTTGTTTGAGTTGGTGAATTTAACTTCACATCTGCCACCGCCATTAAACCTTTTGAAACACTTACGCTTCTATTTTTCGGAAATGACATTTTACTTAGAATAAAAAGATGGACGTATTCGAGTATCTCTTCGAATTGAAGCAGAACAAAGTTTACACACACAAACAATACAAATACATTGACAGAATAGTTCTTTATACAAACAATGGAAAATGTTATAGAATAGCAGTCTTTGCTGAACCAAAATATTTTCATAAAGCAAAGAAAGTTGGTATAACTGAAATGGTGAAAGTTCTTGAAGCAGACAAAAATATAACAACAAAACTGACCGATATTTCTAA